CATATTCTGCTGTTACTTGATGAAGTATTCTATAATTACCCATTAGATCTAGTTGTTTGATGGTGCTGTTCAGTTCAACTACATCCTGATTTTCTGCCTGCTGGATCTGTTAGTGATAGAGGGGTGCTGAATTCTCCAACTATATTAGTGGATTTGTCTATTTCTCCTTATAGTTCTCTGTTTTTGTTTCATATATTTCGGTTCTCTGGTGTTAGGTGCATATGCCTTAAGGATTGTTAGGTCTTCTTGGAGAATTAACCCTTTTATCATTATATAATGCCCCTTCTTCTCTCTGATAATTTTCTTTGCTCTGAGGTCAGCTTTGTTTGAAATTAGTATGGCTTCTTGGTTTTCTTTTGGTTTGTGTTAGTAAAGTATATCTTACCCTATCTCTTTTTCTTTTTCTTTTTTTTTTAAGATTTTTTTATTTATTTGAGAGAGAGCACAAGAGAGGGGAGGGTTAGAGGGAGCAGCAGATTCCCTGCTGAGCAGGGACCCTGATGCAGGACTCGATCCTGGGACTCCAGGATCATGACCTGAGCTGAAGGCAGTCACTTAACCAACTGAGCCACCCAGGAGCCCAATCCCTTTTTCTTTTTAAAAAACTTGTGGTAAAATATACATAAAATTTACCATCTCAGCCGTTTTTAAGTGTACAGTTCAATGGTGTTAAGTATAGTCACATTGTTGTGCAACTAATCTCCAAGATTTTTTCTATCCTTTTCTCTTAACCTATCTGTGTCTTTATTATTTTTTTTAAAGATTTTATTTATTTATTTGACAGAGAGAGACACAGCGAGAGAGGGAACACAAGCAGGGGGAGTGGGAGAGGGAGAAGCAGGCCTCCCGCGGAGCAGGGAGCCAGACGTGGGGCTCGATCCCAGGACCCTGGGATCACGACCTGAGCCAAAGGCAGACGCTCAACGACTGAGCCACCCAGGCGCCCCGGGTGTTGTCTTTTTAGTCCACTCTGACAGTCTCTCTTTTGATTTGTGTATTAGGCCGTTAGTATTCAAAATGATTATTGAGGGATGCCTGGGTGGCTCAGTCAGTTAAGGGTCTGCCTTTGGCTCAGGACATGATCCTGGGATGAGTCCCACATTGGGTTCCTTGCTCAGCAGGGAGCCTGCTTCTCCATCTGCTTGCCACTCCCCCTGCTTGTGCTCTCTCTCTGACAAATAAATAAATAAAATATTTTTTAAAATGATTATTGATAGAGTTGGATCAATACCTACCTTTTTTTTTTTTACCATCCTCTATCCATTGTCCTTGTTCTTTTTGCTTTCTACACTTTTTCTGCCTTCCCTGGTTTTAATTAAGCATTTTACATGATTCCACTTTCTCTCCTCTCTTGCAATATCATTTATACTATTTTTTTCTAACTTCTTAAAGTGGTTCCTCTAGAGTTTGCCATATACATTTACAACTAATCCAAGTCCACTTTTACACAGCATTATATGGCTTCACAGATAGAGCAAATACCTCATAACAGAGTATTTCCCATTCTTCCCTATAACATTGCTGTCATTCATTTCACTTATCCATAAGTTATAACCACTGAACACACTGTTGCTGTTGTTATTATTACTTTGAACAAACTGTTATCTGTCAGATCAAATAAGAAGACTAAAGGATTTCATTTTACCTTCATTTATTCCTCCTCTAGCACTCTTCCTTTCTGTATGTACATCCAAGTTTCTAAAGTATATAATTTTCTTCCTCTCTAAAAGCTTCTTTTAACATTTATTGCAAGGCAGCTCTGTTGGTGACAAATTCGCTCAATTTTTCTTTGAGAAAGTATTTCTTCTTTATTTTTGAGGATAATTTTACTGGATATAGAATTCTACATTATTTTTCTTTTTTTTTAAGATTTTATTTATTTGAGAGAGAGAATGAGAGACAGAGAACACGAGAGGGAAGAGGGTCAGAGAGAGAAGCAGACTCCCTGTCGAGCAGGGAGCCCGATGTAGGACTCGATCCCGGGACTCCAGGATCATGACCTGAGCCGAAGGCAGTCACTTAACCGACTGAGCCACCCAGGCGCCCTACATTATTTTTCTTTTAATGCTTTAAATATTTCACTACACTCTTTTCTTACTTGTATGGATTCTGAAGAGAAGTTTGATGTAATTTGTTTTTAAACATTTTATTTATTTATTTGAGAGGGAGACTGAGAGAGAGAGAGCATGAGATGGGGGAGGGTCAGAGGGAGAAGCAGACTCCCCACTGAGTACGAGAGGACTCTCTCCCAGGACTCCAGGACCGTGACCTGAGTCGAAGGCAGTCGCTTAACCAACTGAGCCACCCAGGTGCCCCAAGTCTGATTAATTCTTATTCTTGTTCCTCTACAGGTAAGCATTTTCCCTTCTAGCTACTTTTAATATTTTCCCTTTGTCTTCGTTTTTTGTTTTTTTTTTTTAACAATTTCAAAATGATATGCTCAATTGTAGATTTTTTGGGTATTTATCCTTTTTAGTATACTTTAAGATCCCTAGATTTGTGGTTTGTTATCTGTCATTAGTTTTGGAAAATTCTCAGTCATTATTATTTCAAATATTTCTTTTGTTTCTATCTTTTTTCTTCTTTACATGTATGCTACACATTTTGTAACTATCCCACAGTTCTGGGGTATTTTGTTCCATATTTTTCATTCCTTTTTCTCTTCGGTTTAGGAGGTTACTAGTGACATACGTTCAAACTCACGGATTCTTTCCTTGGCCATGTCCAGTTCAGTGATGAACTCATCAGAGGTATGCTTCATTTCTGTTACAATGTTTTTTTTATTTCTAGCATTTCCTTTGATTGTTTCTCGGAGTTTCCATCTCTCTGCTTACATGACCCATCTGTTCTTGAATGTTGTCCACTTTTTCCATTAGAGCCCTTAATTCCCAGTCTGATGATTCTATTAACTCTTTGCCATTTATGAGTCTCATTCTGATGCTTGCTCTGTCCAAGTTTGTTTTTTTTTTTTTTTTTGTCTTTTGGTATGATTTGTAGTTTTATGCTGAAAGCCAGACATGATATACTGTGTAAAAAAGATGGAAGAAAATAGGCCTCAAGTGTGAGGCTTTATGTTTATCTGGTTTGGAGGTAGGCTGTGCTCACTGTTTACTGTAGCTACAGGTTGTTAGAGGTAAATTTCCTCTGGTGTTCTTATTTTTATCTCCCCCCCCCCCCCCCTTTGTCCTTGTATTTCCCTAGAGACGGCTTAAATAAGGTCTGAGATATGCAGTTCTTTCATTTGTAATCTCGTTATTATGCAGGGGCCCTACTGATGTGGCGGTAAGGTGTTGGGGGAAGGGAAGCATTCTATAGTCCTATGATTAGGTGTCAATCTTTTAATGAGCCCATGGGCTTTAACTTTCACAAGGGCTTCTCAGTTGCTGGGTTTCCCCCACCCACTAGTTAAGGCAGAAAGGCTAAAGGTATTTCCCCTTTAGCTGGCCTTGGGTATTTCCCTTCCCTGGGCCAGTTAGGCTCTGGTTAAGTAGTTTCTCTTGAGGGCAGTCCATGTTAAGGAGAACATAATGCTCTGGATGTATTTTTAATATAGCTACTTTTCTATTCTTCCTGCTGGAAGCACAAAAGGATTTTTCTTCACTCTTTATTGTGGGGGACCTGGCAGGACTCCTGGAGGCAAAACTCACAAAAATGTCAGGCTCCCCCTAAAAGTAGGCCCCCCCTGAAATGTTTAACTCTCAAGTTTGTCTACACAAAGCTTCCAGCAATTCATCAATTACTGTTAAGTATTCCCACCCTGGTACCGGCTCCACCACTGGGGTTCCTTCCCTGAGCTTTTGCTCTTGGTAAGTTGTGATTATCTGTATCCACCTGTCTGTTCAATTTTGCAGGCAGCACGCTGCCCTATGACTTCCATTTTCTGATGGATCTAAGAAAAGTAGATGATTTGCAGTTTGTTCACCTTTTTCTTGTGAGGTTGGGAGTTTTGACTTCCAAGCCCCTTACATGCTGGACCCAAAACCCTTGTCTCCTATTTAGGAATCAATCTATAAAGGAAGCAGGACGATTTGCAAGCAAGAATATTTGCATAAGGGGGCAACTGGTCTCCTTACTAAGACTAGACAGACCACACGCCCAGACCAAGGGCCTTCCTGGTTGGGGCATCCAAACAATACAGGCATCCTCTTCTCTGGGAAAGCCTACAAAACAACCTTAGGCTGCCGGAACCCCTCACCTAAACCCCGTGCAGACCTCTATCATTTCACTTTTGTCAGGAATTAAGAGTCTCTCTCTCTCTCTCTCTCATTATCATCAGGTAAAAGCCAGAGGTCTAATGCAAGAATTAGGTCCAAGGGAGAGTGGACCTAATTAGCCCAAGCTGGAGTGGAAATATTTCTAAAATAGTTCCCAAACTGAGGTACATCAAGGCCCAAACAGGTATGAGGACCAAGGAAAATAAGACCATCAGAGCAAGCTTAGAGGAGATCAGACTACCTCCCCAGGGAGATCACACAGAGGGTGGAGTACTTATCTGCTATCTTAGGGGTGGGTGGGGTCCAGGGTGGAAACTCGCAAAACATAATAAAACTATCTATTTCTGGAGCAGCCTCCAGATCAGGGCACATCAGATTCCTCAGAGCACAGCGCTGGTATAAAGCAGCCTCAGTAAGTACTTGACCTGAACTGATCCTTAGGAAGCCCAGACACAATACTTGGGCAGCAACATGAACAAGTGGTCAGCTTACAGCTCTCACATCAATTTATCCCAGTGCCCCTCTCTATGGAGAGTCAGCAAGCAGGCTTCCCCAACTTAGGCAAGGACTCCATCGAGGGGATTCAGACATCAGCACTAAGAAGATCCATCTGTCTCGGAACCAGACAACGAACCGCTGAAGGAAGACAAGTGCAGAGCCCAGCCAGGAAGCTGAGAGTCCAGGCCCGTCCAAGCTGCCTACAGGGCTGTCCCGAGGAACCAGCACCAGGCAGTACATATCACAGATGCCCTCAGAAACAGAGAGACCAAGGGCACGGCAGAGGTGTTGAAACAGCAAGCAGGCTTTAATGGAGGGTGTATAGCCAGGGTGACCTCAGCTTCTTCGGTTTCATTAGCTTCTTTTTTCTCCTCAGGACATAGGCAGGAAGAAGGCCTGTTTTCTAACGAGAACCTAGAAATCAGTCTCCGTCCCCAAGTTGTGTTACGTGGACTGGTTCAGATCTCTCACTCTGGTTGGCTTGCAATCTGTTTTCCAGCATTTTCCTTCCCTGAGAATAGGAGTTTTCTCACATTCATCTGTGTCTTGAGTCACCCTGGAATTAGGCTGCCTCTACACTAGCTGTTCGCTCTGCCTAGAGCACCCTTCTGCAGGTATCTGCACGGCTAGCTCCCTCACCCCCTTTACCCTTCCCAACCCCACTCAGACGCCACCTGCTTGACAAGGTTCTGTTGCAGTCCGCTCCCTCTGCCGCCCCCGCCATTCTTAATCTCCCACACTTAGCTCTGTACTTTTCCATAACTCTCATCAACTTCTCTGCCTGCTTCTTCTGCAGTTTGAATAGGATACGCCTAGTTATATCACATCACTTAGGTACTGATTGCATCTTAGTATCACTACAGTGTAAGCTCTGTGAGAGCAGGGACTTTTGTCCGCTCACTGATATCCCAAGTGCACAGAGATGGAATACAAAAGGCATTCAGTAAGTGAGTGCGTGTGAATGAGAAGCGAAACCTAGTTCAGATCCCGCCCTGTCACTTAGTAGGTAGCTGCGTGCCTTAGGCAATTTGCTTCCCTCTCTGCCCCAGTTTCTCAATCTGTGAGACGGGGGTCCAAGCACTCACCTTGCTAGATTATGCCTGTGAAGTGCCTGGCAGGGTGTCTGGTTAGTTCATAAATGGGCCAGCCAGTGGACATAATTACTGCCTGTCTCAAACTCTTCACCTCCTGTCTGTTATTCATACTCTTGACTCAGGGGCATTACTAAGGCCACTGATGGCAGGCCTGTGGTGAGGGCACGAGGCCAAGGAAAACGCAAAGATCCCAGGGTTCCCTCTTTCCTGTACCAGCTTAGCTGACTTGAGGGCAGCTAGCCTTGGCCTCTCCAACCCCCACGCCCCAATCACACGGCAGCAGAGGATCTGGAACTAATCTTCCGGCCCTGTGAGAAATCTGAGCCCTCTCTGACCTACTGGACCGTATTGGACGCCCTCGGACCAGCAGGGATCAAGCCCACAACAAGGAAAGGACTCAGAGCTCACCAGGACCTCACAGATGTGCGGAGAGGATCGAGCCACGCAAGGAAACACCTCCTATTGCCTGGCACCTGTGGGATGAAAAGAGGATGATGCTCGGGGGTGGGTTCCTCAGTCAGAGGTTAGGGTAGCAGGCTCTGGAATCAGCCTGAGTTCACGTCCTGCAGCCACCACTCAATAGATATGGATTCTTTGGTTTCTTAAGGTCTCCCAGCTTTGGTATGCTTAGTTGTAAAATGAAGACATGAACAGTGCTCACCTCACTGGATTGCTACGGGGATGAAGTGAGACATGCTTATGAAGTGCCTTAGCACATTGCCTGGCACCCAACTTCAGTAATAACTATTAATTCACTTTCAAAGGCCTTTAAACACCAGATGAGTTCTATGGGATCACCTTGCCAGCGGTGGCTTTGGCCAGTAGGAATCATATAAACCATGGCTGTGGGGTAGAAAGAGGTGAAACATAAGCATGCCTTCAGGACTGTTCAACTCAACCAGCCAGAGAAGGGACAGCTTTCTCTAAAATCTGAAATTCTAATCCTCTCTAACAGCCTGCCAAACAAAACTTATCTTGCAAATTATAATCTTAAACTGGTGGCCAGAATTTAGTGGTGTATATAAGTGTTGTGTGCGTACATCATAAATCAAGAAACACAATTTTTCACATCTTTATTCCCTCAACGAATATTTACTGGACACCCACTCTGTGCAGCGCCTTCTGCTGGGTGTCCCTGCAATGGGATATATAGCCTCTGTTCTCAAGGAGCTCATAGGTCATGGAGGAGATGGGCATGCAAACAATCCCAATAAGTCTGGCACAGTTTTTCACCAGAAACAATACCAGCTCAGCAGAAGGGCAATTACTCTGGAAGGGGAGTTCAGAAAAAGCTTCTCAGAAGAAAGAACTTTTCACCCTGTTTTTCAGAGATTCCATCCAGCATTAGGGAACCCAAAGAGGAAGAAGGCCAGGGACCTAGTTTCATCACTGTATTAATCATATCTTTTATTTTCTGTATTCTGATACTTGGACATCTGGGGACTTACTACCCCTAAAGGGACTGCCTCTCTCAAGGTCGCCAGCTTCTAAACATGGCAAACAACCTGCCAGTAAATGTGCCTTTCAAAAGGAAGCAAACCATTCTGGGGCCATTCCACCAACCATCTCTTTTATGAAGCTCTACCTGCTCTAATCATCCCTGGGCCAGGTACTAGAAAACCAGGGATAGCCTCTCTGCCCCCAAGCTCGCTGAAATTACTCAAACTGTGCAATCCTAAACCTGCTTACCCTGCCTCGCCTGTTCCTTCCCATGGAAACCACAATAAAGACTCTGGTCCAGTTTCCCCTCATCCCTGGTGCTTTCCTGTGAGGCATGCCCCTGCCTTTGCATCTGTAAGTATAATAAATTATCTTCTCAATGGCAGCTGTCTCCTGATCTGTTGGCCTTACCATACCTAGATAGTAATAAAACCTGCATTAAAACAATAACCAGAAATTCTTTTCCCTGGGTCCTCCAGAAGAGTGGCAGAGTGAGGCAAACAATTACCTAACAACTAGTTCCCTTTTTGCCCTAAAGCACTGATCAGTAAGTTCTTAGAAGACAGGGACTATATTTTAAACAACTTTGTGCCCTCTCTACAGCACTAGGAATAAAGGCCCAATAAATGTCCTCAGAGAACTCACAGTTCAGGGCAGAGATAGACATATAAGCCAGCAATGACAATTTACTCTGTAAATGCTCTCTAATGGAGTTGTGCACAAAAGAGAGTGGGACAGAGAAAGAAATAACATCTGAAATTGGTTGGGAAGTTCAGGAAGTTTTCACAGAGCCTTTGAGTCGAGACTTAGCAGATGAATAGAACTTTGCCAGGCAGCCAAAAGGAGTGTAGTATTGCAGGGGGGAGGGGGAGGTAGAAAGCATTCTAGACACATGCATGGTGAAAGAGGAGAGCAAGGCACATTCTGGTACCTCCTCTCCAAACTCAGGAGACGAGCATTACCTCTCTCTGAGGTGGCGATGGAACTGCCCTTGTTTTTTCTCCCAGCTCAAAAATCTAGCCCCAGTGGCTTTGGCTAGGGCACGCAAAGATTTGTCAAATGACCAATTACACCTTAAAAGGAATTTAACAACTGTGTCCAATATTAGTAGCTACTTATTAACACTCAGTTCAGTTGGTTGGGCGACTGCCTTCGGCTCGGGTCATGGTCCCGGAGTCCCGGGATCGAGTCCCGCATCGGGCTCCCTGCTCGGCGGGGAGTCTGCTTCTCTCTCTGACCCTCCCCCTCTCATGCTCTCTGTCTCTCATTCTCTCTCTCTCAAATAAATAAATAAAATCTTGAAAAAAAAGCCTGTTTTATTTTTAATAATAAATGCTGATTACTAAATATTATACAAGTTTTTAAATACTAGCTACTAAATACATAGGCTGGACTAATCAAATGGCTGGTGGAATCTATAGACCCTTTCCTTTAGACAGAATCCCTTCTTCTTGAGCCATTTAAGAATCTTCAAAAGAGTTTATTCTCCAGCAGTCCATGGTCGAGTGTGCCACACCATCTGCCCTCTCCTAAAGGCACTCTAGGTAAGGGTTGGGATGGCTGCCCCATGTTTTACTTTCTACCAGATGGATAAGGAACCTGTGCAGATGGATAGGGAACCTGTGCAGTATGAATTTGGATTGGGTCTTTACATTCTATACATAGTCACACATACATAATTTCAAGCAAACAGCCAGGCAGTGGGCAAGAAAAGCCAAGTCAACATGAAGGCAAACGCTCTCTATTATTTTCTGTGGAAACCCAAATCCTGAGATTAGGATTACAATGTGTGCTCAAGAAGTAGAGGGGATGGGTACTAGAGAATCTGAGAGGTTCAGAAAGGACCTGGAGCCTCTCGAGGCGTAGGGTTTGGGGTCCTGCTCCCCAGTGTTCACGGGTGACGTGGTACGTGGAGTTGGATCTCTGACACCCAGCTGCCAGGCCCCACCCAAGATTTCAGGGACATAAGGAAATAACCGAGCTATCAGACTTAATGGACCGCCAGGACTGGGCAGTGGTTGTTTCAGAAGTAATCTGATGCCTGGAAGGGCCTTCCTGGCATCTTGATGCTGCATAAGATCTGGATACCTTTGCATAATCTCAGAAGTTTGGGGGAGCCCACCAGCAAGGCAGATGGTGGTGGGGATCTTTATAACAGAATTAAATTAAAAGAAAACAAAGACATCCAATATTTCCTGCATATATTAATCTATGGATTGAAAAATCCCACCAACTATACATTTTCCCCTTGATTCCACAGGACAGTCAAGCCAGGAAGGCTCTGCACCAGCAGGCTGACAAGCATCCACTCATCCAGGAAAAAGAGTATTTAGATACTTATTTTGTGGGTTCACTACCAGACAGTCCAGAGATAAAAGGCCTTCTTCCTTTCCCTTTGTATTCCTAATAGGAAATGAGGAGACAAAGTACAGAAAGCAAGAGTAGTTTCTGTATTGCAGCTGGGAAAGAGACAGGAAGAAGAAAGAATCCACCAGCTCAGGGAGTAAGTCAGGAAGGAAGCATCCAAAATGTCAGTGGAGAGGCGCCTGGGTGGTTCAGTACATTAAGCGTCTGTCTTCGGCTCAGGTCATGATCTCAGGATCCTGGGATCGAGCCCTACGTTGGGCTCCTTGCTCAGTGGGGAGTCTGCTTCTCCCTCTCCCCCTGCCCCCTCCCAACTTGTGCACTCTCTTTCTCAAATAAATAAATAAAATCTTTTAAAAAATGTCAGTGGGTCATGTCAGTCAGAATGTCAGTCAGAATGACCCAGCATCAATGCTTTCAGCACCTAACAGGCGTAGCTGAATTCTCGTTGGACTTATGATAGGTGGAGCAAAACCAGATCCCTTTGAATACACAGGACCCAAAACTCTCCTTATAGGATGTGCTTCTTATAGAAAGAATCTGACTGACTCTTTGGGGGAACAGCTGCACCAGGCAGTGGGAACTAAGAGTAGGTATGTCACATAGCTCCAAACGGGTCCAAACTGTGGCTCTGCTTAGTCCCATCTCTATATAATCACAACCTTTGGTTATAATCAGTGAAACAGGTGAACAGGTTCCCTTTGCAGGGGAGAACATGATGGAATTCCACCTTCAGGAGACTTGGGACTTACTAACCCTTCTAGGTCACTGAACCTCAGTTTCCTTTGCAGGGCAGAACATGATGGAATTCCACCTTCAGGAGACTTGGACTTACTGATCCTTCTAGGTCACTGAACCTCACTTCAAATCCACCTGGTACAGGGGCACCTGGGTGGTTCAGTCGGTTAAGTATCTGACTCTGGGTTTCAGCTCAGGTCATGATCTCAGGGTCAGGAGATCAAGCCTATCCCCCCCACCCCCACACCCAAGTTCGGGTCTGCACTCAGCAAGGAGTCTGCTTGAGGATTCTCCCCCTCTGTCCCTCCCCCCACTCACACATGCTCTCTCTCTCAAACAAATAAATCATTTTTTTAAAATCCACCTAGAATAAAGAGCAGAAGACAAAGTCTAGTTGCTACTCTTTTAGAATTCTAATCCCAGAATATGTCTGCCAGACGTCAGTTATTTAGAGAACTATTCCAGCATAAAAGAGACCTCACCCCTTGACCCTATTCCCAACTTACCATCACATTCCAGCAGAAACTGAAAAGTTGAATGAGGAATAGGAACCCTATTCCTGCTCTGGTTGGTAGAATCCCTCTTCCTCTCCTTGTCACTTCTGCCCATGTAGAGAGGTTTAGAAGTGAGAAAAGAAGAAACTCTTAAAAGAAAAAAAAAATCCTTATCACTTTCCTCAAAAAATTTTAAGAGAAAGAGATCTGGAACCTGTGACCCACATTTAAGATCCATACGGTCTAAATTCTCTATCTGGAACCTTTAGAAAAGGGTTAAACCTACGTTTTCCCTTTCTACTTCTTCCCTTCGTGACAGTCGTCTGGGCATACCAGCAATCCCTTGTGCTACTGACATCCAGCTTCCTAGACCCATGACTCTGTGCCGGTAATTTTTTTTTTTAAGATTTTATTTATTTATTTGAGAGAGAGAGAATGAGAGACAGAGAGTATGAGAGGGAAGAGGGTCAGAGGGAGAAGCAGACCCCCTGCTGAGCAGGGAGCCCGATGTGGGACTCGATCCCGGGACTCCAGGATCATGACCTGAGCCGAAGGCAGTCGCTTAACCAACTAAGCCACCCAGGCGCCCTATGCCAGTAATTTCTAAGAGGAATCTGGAGCTATATTATCATATGCCTTCTTCAAGATCTCCTGCTCTCTACAAACTGGACATGAAGCTCTTTTTCTTGGAAAGGAAAGAGTGGTCCTTGACTTGTCTCATTGCTGGGAAGAGTTTTAAGGGCTAGCATATTCCAGACACTTACAGGACTTTAATTCTAATATCCCCTCATTCCAGAAAGTGTTTCCCAAAGTTTGTTCCACTGAGTAATAGTCTTTCCAAAACATTTAGTGAATAAAATAGTCTAAGGTCAAATAATTTTGAAAAAATAGGTATATTTTGAAAGTCTCTCCCTCTTGGAGATTTATGTTCATTAGTATATTCAAGGTGCTGAGAAATCATGAAGTAAAAAAATCTGTTCACCTGGCTTTTTCAAATATATAACTCAATAACCCCCTTTTTCACATAAGACCCATTAACATCCACCACTTCCTTAGGAAAGGCTGTCTTGACAACATAGGAGCATCTGGTTTCCTAACTGTTACAATGAGGATTAATCAGTAACTCCTACCTCTTTTAAGGAAATAATCCAAGATTGAAAAAAAAAAAAGTTCTATATAAGGGAAGTTAACTACACTGTTGTCTGTAATAGCAAAAACCTGGAAACAACTAAAATATCTTACAATAGAGATCGAGAAAACACATAATGGTGCAACCCTGTCAGAATATCATGTAAACACTAACAATGTTTATGAAGAATTCTTAAAAGCCTATGAAACTCATCAAACTATACATTAAGGAGCGCCTGGGTGGCTCAGTCATTAAGTGGCTGCCTTTGGCTCAGGTCATGATCCCCAGGTCCTGGGGTCAAGCCCCATGTAGGGCTGCCTGCTCAGCGGGGAGCCTGCTTCTACCTCTCCCTCTGCCTGCTGCTTCCCCTACTGTGCTCTTTCTCTGTCAAATAAATAAATAAAATCTTTTAAAAAAATACATTAAATATATGCACTTTTTAATGTATCAATTATACCTCAAAGCTATTATAAAAAAACCCTATGAAAATGTAAAGTGTCAGGTGAAACACTGTATGTATAGCATGTTTTCAGCTACATACAAAATATACATAGAGGGGCGCCTGGGTGGCTCAGTCGTTAAGCATCTGCTTTCGGCTCAGGTCATGGTCCCAGGGTCCTGGGATCGAGCCCCACATCGGGCTCCCTGCTCCACGGGAAGCCTGCTTCTCCCTCTCCCTCTACCTGCTTGTGTTCCTCTCTCCTTGTGTCTCTCTCCGTCAAATAAATAAATAAAATTAAAAAATATATATATAGGGGCGCCTGGGTGGCTCAGTCGTTAGGCGTCTGCCTTCGGCTCAGGTCATGATCCCGGGGTCTTTGGATCGAGCCCCGCATCGGGCTCCCTGCTCCGCGGGAAGCCTGCTTCTCCTCCCACTCCCCCTGCTTGTGTTCCCTCTCTCACTGTGTCTCTCTCTGTCAAATAAATAAATAAAATCTTAAAAAAAAATAAAAAATAAAAAAAATATATATATATACATAGAAAAAAACATATGATTTAAATGTCTTCTGGGCCTGGTAATGCTGTGCACTACAGCTTCTGAAACCCTTCTGCTATATATCTAAAAATACTTGATATAATATTTTTAAGACCTCACTTTTAGGTGGCCTGATGAGCCTGAAAGAAAGCAAGAAAAGGCCAATTAAATCAGGATGTTGGTCAAGGTAGGGGGAACAGTGAGCTTTTAAGAGGCTGAAAACCTTGGAATAGTCTAGAATAGTCTAGAACAATAGTTCTCAGCAGGGAAGGCATTGACCCCCAGGGGGCAATTATGAAGTAAGTGGTGGTGTTTCTGGTTATCACAGTTAGAGGCCACTGTTGGTATTTGATAGGTGAAGGGTCAAGGATACTAGATATCCTGAAAAGTACAGGGCAGTTCCTCACAACAAACAATTGTCCTATATCCCCTCATGACTTTCAAATGAATCTCTGGCCATTGATAAAGGTGAAACATGTGCTTGTGATCACTTAAGCCTAGAGCCTAACCCTGTTTTAAATGATTTTAATACACACAGAACTCTTCAGGAATTCAACCACTGCGTAAATCAAGGGAAACTAAACTCTTTTATTTGGAAATTTGTCAAGAATTGTTCATTTTGGAAAATGACATTGCCAATGGCATTGCCAGCATGGTATTCAAGTTACTAATACAACATACATGGATCAGTTGGCTTTCCTAGTGTTTACAAATTTGGTGAATCTATGTATGGGGGGTGAGCAAGTGATTACTTTGTTGTCTTCTAGTATGGTGGAATTTGAGCATTTATATATTAAAATACTTAAAATTTTAGTTCAAACTAGTTTTCTATTATTTCTTTACATCACATTTATGGTATTATATATTGATTTTGTTTGAAATGGTGTGGAATCATACACAGTGGTCTACAAATTTCATTCCAATGATCTAAAGGAGACATTACAAATTATTTGTTATGGGGGCATTCGGTCTCATGGGATTGAAATTCACCATAGTATATAATCCCTACAACTTGCCTTTCTCATTTAACATTAAGACAGAAAATTTTGCACATGTAGCTTAGATGTACCATAGTTTATGTAAATATTTACTATTAGTGAACACATAGGTTATTTCTAATTCTGTGATGTTAGAAACAATGTAATAACATCTTCCTACACACATCTTTGTGCACATGTGCAAGGATTTCTCAGGAATCCTGAGAAGTGAAACTGCTAAATCTTGAGTATCTTTTAACCTTTAAAAGGAACTGCCAAATTTCCTTCTAAAAATTAATACCAAGTTATACTCTCACCAATATTGTACAAAATAACCTTTTCCCTACATGTGTTCCTTCTCAACACTTAAGTTTTTCAATCTTTTCAATATTTGTAAATCTTTGGAGATACAATTGTTTCTCATGTTGAGTTGCGTTTTCCTAACACTAGTCAAGTTGAATAAACGTCTTTTCAAATGTTTCTAAGCCACTCTATTGCCTCAGTTAATTGGGAATTCACATCTTTTGTCCATTTTTTCTTTTTGATTGACTTGTAGGAGAACTTCATATATTCTGACTATAAATTATTTGTTTAACACATGTTGGAGATTAACTTTCTCCTATTCTGTTTCCTATCTTTTAATTTTGGTCATATAGAAGTTTCAAATTTTGATATAGTCAACCTTATCACTGCTTTCCTATATTGCTTCATTGCTTTTGATCTTCTTTTTTGTTTTTGATCTTCTTAAAGAAGGTTTTTCCTACATCCAGATATCATTTTCAGTGGCCACATAATATTCCACTGTGTGGATATGCCATGATTTATGAAATTCTCTCTCACTAATGGAAATTTAGGTTGGCCCATCCTTTCAATAATATAAACAATGCTGTGAAAAACAACTAAGTGTTCAACTTGATATTTCTAACATATTTTAGCAAACAGCATAATAAATGTTTCTTGAGTGGGGGAGGGAAGAAAGGCGGGGAAGCTTTTTCCACCCTCACGTATGTTAAAAAATACAGGCCAATGTCAACCAAATTATCAGGGAATTAGCTCTAATTCTACTTCTCCTTTGGCCCATCTAATCAAGAGTTGACTCAGCTTCTAAAGTCTAGGCATGGAAGTAAAGCTTTATCCTCCCCCTAAGACTGCCCTCCCTCAGGGTGCCACACTACCTCAGACATGCCTTTAATCACATACCTGAGTCCGCCTTCTTGTCCTGACCTTGGTTCTTGAGTGCCACTTTGCTTGGTGAGTCTTCAAGGGTTATTTCCTGAAAGATGGTGGCTGGGCCTCGGAAGATGAAGCAGGGGGAAGAGAAGGCTCATGTCCAGCAGGCTGGGCTGCCATAAATCTGCTAGACCCAGCTCCATTTCCAGCAGGTGGAACTTCATATCCTGGAGGAGGGGCTTCATTTGCAGCCGGTGAAGCTTCATTTCCAGCTGGTAGGGGTCCGTATCCTGCAGGGGGGGTTCCACATACCCCAGGTGGGGGTCTGTATCCCACAGGTGGGGACCCATATCCTGCTTGTGGGGGTCTGTATCCCACCTGTGGGGTTCCATACACCCCTGGCGAGGGGCCATATCCCGCCTGCAGGTGTCCGTATCCCACTTGTGGGGTTCTGTATCCTGCCTGTGGGGGTCCATAGACAACAAATGGGTATGCTGAGAAGGAAAAAAAAATCAGTTACTCATTTTTTAGAGTGGACACGGAGTAGGTAAGAAGGAGGAAGAAGAAAACTGACACAGGAAGAGAATTCAGGCAGAATAATGCTAAAACCAGATCCTTCAGCCACCACCAGATGAAGGCTTTATCATTTCCTGTTGTGGAGGGGTTCAAATTAACATGAAAATAACCCTACGGTTATATCTCTATATTACTTATAGTTGTGCTCATATATATAATTTACTTAATAAATTTTGTTTGAGTATGAAGAAAGTTATACATGCTCAGTGAGGAATATGCATTTGGAAAATAGAGAAAAGATGAACTTTAAAAGTCATCTATAATTCCACTCTCAAAGACTCTCAAAAACTGAATATTTTGGTGATTTCTTTGTAGGATCTCTGTTAATATTTTTAAATAATCACAATCATAACACCCACACATTTTTTTATCTGGCTCTTTTTACTTGACATTATAAAAAATTTCTTTATATTATTAACATATTTCATACATTAAAAGCTGGACAATATTTTATCACATGGATAGGTGCTACTTAATTTCCCTGCTGTAGGAGAGCATGTTGTTTCCAACTTTCTTTTTTTTAGATTTTATTTATTTATTTATTTGAGAGAGAGCACGCTCGAGCTTAAGCATGGGAGGGGGGAGGGGCAGAGGGAGAGGGAGAAAGTCTTAAGCAGACTCCACACTGAGCTTGAAGACGAGGCGGGACCCGATCTCAGGACCCTGAGATCACCACCTAAACCAAAACCAAGAGTCTGACACTTAACTGCACCACCCAGGCACCCCTGTTTCCAACTTTCTAATTCACATTGCAATAAACCTGGGCTTTATTTATTTTCTTGGCTACATTTCCAAAGTGGTTTAACTGAGTCAATGAATGGACAACTGTCAAGTTATTTTGCTGTAATACATATTTATGTTTCAGCTAACTAGAAAAAACTTTAAAAGAATTGTCTTAAAGATTCTCAAAGAACTAAAGGAAAATGTGGAGGAAGTCAAGAAAATGATGTACGCTTCAAACACAAATATCAGTAGAGGTGGAAAACTTTACAAGAAACCAAAAAGAAATTCTGGAGCTGAATAGTACAGTAACTGAAATGAAAAATTCACTAGAGGGATTCAATTCAGATTTGAGTAGGCAGAAGAATGAATTGGTTAACTTGAAGATAAGACAATGGAAAGAGTAGAGGTTGAGGAATAGGAAAAAAAAAAAAAAAACAACCCAACCAAACACTGAAGAACAGTGAACAGAGGGACCTGTGGAACACCACTGAGCAGATCAACATACATACCGTGGAAGTCCCAGGAGGAGGAGAAAAAGGGACAGAGCAAATATTTGAAGAAATAATGACTGTAAACTTCCCACATTTGATGAAAACATGAATATAAACATCCAGGAAGCTCAATAAACTTCAAGTAAGATCAACTTAAAGAAACACAAGCTGAGATACATTCTAATTAAACTTTCAAAAGACAGAGACAAAGGGAGAATCTTGAAAGCAACAAGAGAGAAGTGAATCGTCACATACAAGGGATCCTCAATAAGATAATTAGCAGATTTCTCATCAGAAGCTTGAGAGGCCAGAAATAAACTGTCAAACAAGAATCCTCTATTTGGCCAAACTCCTTCAAGAGTGAGGGAGAAATGAAGATGTTCCCAGATAAACGAAAGCTGAAGGAGTTCATTCTTGCAGGGCAAGAAGTGCTTAAGGTAGTCCTGCAGGGTGAAGTGAAAGGACAACAGACAATAATTGAAAGCCATCTTTATAGAAATAAAGATCTCAGTAAAGGTGAATCACTGGACAATTACAAAAGCTAGTATTTTTCTACAATGGCTTGTAATTCCATTTTTTTTTGTTTTCTACATAATTTAAGAGACTAATGCATTTATTTATTTATTTTAAAGATTTTTATTTATTTATTAAAGAGAGAGAGAGAGAGAGCGCATGAAAGTGGGAGAAGGAGCAGAGGGGGAGAGAGGAGGAGGGGGAAAGAATCTCAAGCCTGACTGAGCACAGAGCCTGACACAGGGCTCGATCTCACGACCCTGAGATCACAACCTGAGCTGAAACCAAGAGTCAGAGGCTTAACCAGCTGAGCCACCCAGGCACCTCTAAGAGATGAATGCGTTTAAAAGAATTATTAGATTATATTTTTAGGTACACAACTATAAAGATGTAATTTTGTGACATCAGTTGTGTACAAAACTAAAAGCTGGTAGACATGTATGTCATGTTCCAAGGAGAACTCAAGAAACGGCTACATTTTGGGGCCTGTTGACAGCCTGTTAGGAGACCCTCTGTGGCCCACCTATAGGCTGCGGACCACGTTTGAGAATCACTGTGGACAGGCACAACTATTAAAGGGCACAGGGCATAAAGCTGGAGTCCTCAGTGAGGGTGAAGGGCATGGCACAAGCAGGATGGCTATACTTGTGTGAAGTGGGAAGGGGGAGGTGGGGAAGAGCACACTTTTTCTGCTCAGGCTCTAGGCAGGAAGTGACTGTTCCCGCTAACAGGAGTTTCCCAGGTATGCTCCATATGTGTACATTACAATTAAAAGTAAGCCTGAAACTGAAGCCCAGTCACTTGCTGACCTGCCACTGGGCTTCAGTCTAGAAATGAAGTCATGGACTCAACTATTTTCCAATTCCCTTAACTTCTCCTATTTCTCCTGTAGCAGAGTTGGAGGCAAATTAATAATGAGTGGATCTTTGAGCCCCTGGCATACTTTTCCACCTCCCAAGGAAAACTTCCCTGCCATTCCTTACCTGGACAAGGCATCTGTTGGGAGCACATCATGCCCCCCTGCCCAGTAAATACGTACAGTCCTGGAGTGCTGAACCAGTAATTTACACTTCCAAGTGGAACTCCTCTGGCAGCTGAGAAGACAAGTTTGGCAAAATAAGGACTTCTTAATTCTTTTAAGTCAGATGTACAGTAGCTGTCAACCAAATAATTAACAGAGTATCAACCATCATCTTACATGTGTGTCCAACAATGTTCCCAGGATACAAGAGAAAAAATATACACCTCCCTTGTCCTGAATTGTATGCTTCTTGAGGGCAGAGATTGTGTCTTATTTGCCTGTGCTTTATTCAGGGCCTAGCATAGCACTTACCATAAAAAATATTCAGAAAACATTTCCAAGTGAGGATTCTATCAAGTTGGCAAGATACCTCCATTAAAGACCAATGTAATGGCAACCTGATACAGAAGAAAGAGAGAACTTCTTGTTATCTTCCTCCGCATCTCTCTTATAAGGACTCCTGTGATGGCATTTGGGACCCACCTGGATGATCCAGGGTAATCTCCTCATCTCAAGATCCTTAAATTAATTACATCTGCAAAGATTCTTTTTCCAAACAAGGCAGCATTCACAGATTCTGAGGATTCGGACATGGCTATGTCTTTGGGAACCGGTATCAGCCCACCACACTAATTTCTGGCCCATGGCATATGACCAGAAGTGACGTACACCGCTTCCAGGGCTTTCCTGGTGCCAGCTTCCCTCTCCTTCCCTCTCTGCCGGCTATCCAGAGGGGCCGTGGAAGCCATGCTTTAGAGACGGCAGAGACCCTGGTACCCTGGGTCCCTAAAGGGCTCTGTGGTTCAGAGCCCCCTTTTGCCCCTGCTGGTTGTCCTTTCCGTAAGCAGTAATACGTACCACCCTAAGCTATGGATAGTCCGGGGCTTCTCTGCTTCGGTAGCAGCACTGTGTCAACGAATTCGCTGTAAACCGGACGTTGGGCTCTTTGCCCCTGTTATCCTCCTTTTCAATACCCTATTAACAGTCTTCCCAGAAGTAATTATTTTATTAATTTATGTTGGCTTATTTCTTCTTTTTTAAAAATATTTTATTTACATATTTGACAGAGAGAGCGCGCGAGCACAAGCAGGGCGAGCGGCAGGCAGAGGGGGAGGGAGAAGCGGGCTCGCCGCGGGGCCGGGCGCCGGCCGCGGGGCTCCATCCCAGGACGCCGGGATCGGGGCCTGAGCCGCAGGCAGCCGCTTGGCCCACGGAGCCGCCCAGGCGTCCCTGTTCGCTTATTTCTTACCTGACTCTCACTAGACTGTCAGTTTAACAATGGTAGGGACTATGACGCCCTGTGCACTGCTGTGTTCTCAATTATCTCATACAGTGTTTGGCAAACAATAGGTACTCAATACATATTTGGTAAAAACAAGAACCAAAGAGCCCCAACAAGTCAGCTCTGCAGAGGGGAAGGGACTTCTGCAAAGTGTCAAAGAATCAGATCATGAAGCATGATGGGTAGTTAACTTAAAGGCCTCAAGGAAGCCCATTTCACAAGCTCTGACTCTTACTGGGGGAGTGGGGGTAGGCTCCCACACTTAAGCCATGATATAATCAGACCCACAGTAGGTCCAGACATTGGGCCAAGTTCACATAAGTTGCCTAAACTCTTCCCAAGTAGCTATGTAACTGCTGGGACTCTGTAGCTTTGCAGGCCAAGGAACAGATCTTAATGAGAGCACAAAGAGGATCCCCACACGTTGCCTGATTCTTAGTCCATAATCCTAAAAATAAGACCCTCTCAGTACTGTAAGGCCAAAAATAAGAGTAAACTCAAGACCCAGTATGCAATTATTCTGAGTTCTGCAGACATCTGTAGCAAAGAGGAGCTGGACTTCCAAGTGTCCCCTGACTCTGGGTCCCACATGGCTATGCTCTGTCTGCCAGGACACCTTGTTATCCAATGTCAGGCTTCCAGATGCTGTCTGCCCTTTGGACAACGATGAGCTGTTGGTTGGGTACAGTGTGTGAACTCCTTGGCCTTTATATCTTTGCACTGTATCTTAAAGGTAACAGTAAAAAAATTTCTTACTCCTCAGTTTCCTATATATGGCTTTTCTGCCACCTGTCTTCGTTTTTTTTTTTGGCTTGATTTTTTTTATTTTTTTATTGTTATGTTAATCACCACACATTACATCATTAGTTTTTGATGTAGTGTTCCATGATTCATTGTTTGTGCATAACACCCAGTGCTCCACGCAGAATGTGCCCTCTTTAATACCCATCACCAGGCTAACCCATCCCCCCACCCCCCTCCTGACTAGAAACCTCAGTTTGTTTTTCAGAGTCCATCGTCTCTCATGGTTGGTCTCCCCCTCCGACTTACTCCCCTTCATTCTTCCCCTCCTGCTATCTTCTTCTTTTTTTTTCTTAACATATATTGCATTATTTGTTTTAGAAGTACAGATCTGTGATTCAACAGTCTTGCACGATTCACAGCGCTTACCATAGCACATACCCTCCCCAATGTCTATCACCCAGCCACCCCATCCCTCCCACCCCCCACCACTCCAGCAACCCTCAGTTTCTTTCCTGAGGTTAAAAATTCCTCATATCAGCAAGGTCATATGATACATGTCTTTCTCTGATTGACTTATTTCACTCAGCATAACACCCTCCAGTTCCATCCACGTCGTTGCAAATGGCAAGATCTCATTCCTTTTTATGGCTGCATAATATTCCATTGTGTATATATACCACATCTTCTTTATCCATTCATCTGTCGATGGACATCTTGGCTCTTTCCACAGTTTGGCTATCGTGGACATTGCTGCTATAAACATCGGGGTGCACGTACCCCTCTGGATCCCTACATTTGTATCTTTGGGGGAAATACCCAGTAGTGCAATTGCTGGATCATATGGTAGCTCTATTTTCAACTATTTGAGGAACCTCCATACTGTTTTCCAGAGTGGTTGCACCAGCTTGCATTCCCACCAACAGTGTAGGAGGGTTCCCCTTTCTCCGCATCCCCGCCAACATCTGTCGTTTCCTGACTTGTTAATTCTAGCCATTCTGACTGGTGTGAGGTGGTATCTCGTTGAGGTTTTGATTTGGATTTCCCTGATGCCAAGTGATGTTGACCACTTTTTCATGTATCTGTTGGCCATTTGGATGTCTTCTTTGGAAAAATGTCTGTTCATGTCTTCTGCCTATTTCTTGATTGGATTATTTGTTCTTTGGGTGTTGAGTTTGATAAGCTCTTTATAGATTTTGGATACTAGCCCTTTATCTGATATGTCATTTGCAAATATTTTCTCCCATTCTGTCGGTTGTCTTTTGGTTTTGTGGACTGTTTCTTTTGCTGTGCAAAAGCTTTTTATCTTGATGAAATCCCAATAGTTCATTTTTGCCCTTGCTTCCCTTGCCTTTGGTGATGTTTCTAGGAAGAAGTTGCTGCGGCTGAGGTTGAAGAGTTTGCTACCTGTGTTCTCCTTTAGGATTTTGATGGACTCCTGTCTCACATTTAGGTCTTTCAACCATTTGGAGTCTATTTTGGTGTGTGGTGTAAGGAAATGGTCCAGTTTCATTCTTCTGCATGTGGCTGTCCAATTTTCCCAACACCATTTGTTGAAGAGACTGTCTTTATTCCATTGGACCTTCTTTCCTGCTTTGTCAAAGATGAGTTGACCATAGAGTTGAGGGTCCATTTCTGGGTTCTCTGTTCTGTTCCATTGATCTATGTGTCTGTTTTTGTGCCAGTACCATACTGTCTTGATGATGACAGATTTGTGATAGAGCTGGGAGTCCGGAATTGTGATGCCGCCAGCTTTGCTTTTCTTTTTCAATATTCCTCTGGCTATTCGGGATCTCTTCTGTTTCCATACAAATTTTAGGATTATTTGTTCCATTTCTTTGAAAAAAGTGGATGGTATTTTGATGGGAATTGCATTGAATGTGTAGATTGCTCTAGGTAGCATTGACATCTTCACAATGTTTGTTCTTCCAATCCATGAGCATGGAACGTTTTTCCATTTCTTTGTGTCTTCTTCAATTTCTTTCATGAGTATTTTATAGTTTTCTGAGTACAGATCCTTTGCCTCTTTGGTTAAATTTATTCCTAGGTATCTTATAATTTTGGGTGCAATTGTAAATGGGATCGACTCCTTGATTTGTCTCTCTTCTGTCTTGTTGTTGGTGTATAGGAATGCCACTGATTTCTGTGCATTGATTTTATATCCTGCTACTTTACTGAATTCCTGTATGAGTTCTAGCAGTTTTGGGGTGGAGTATTTTGGGTTTTCCACATACAGTATCATATCATCTGCAAAGAGTGAGAGTTTGACTTCCTCTTTGCCTATTTGGATGCCTTTGATTTCTTTTTGTTGTCTGATTGCTGTGGCTAGGACTTCTAATACTATGTTGAATAGCAGTGGTGATAGTGTCACCTGTCTTCTTTAGCATTTCTCTCTTGTTTTTTGTTTTTTTTTAAAGATTTTATTTATTTAATTGACAGAGAGAGAGAGAGAGACAGAGAGAGAGGAAACACAAGCAGGGGGAGTGGGAGAGGGAGAAGCAGGCTTCCCACCGAGCAGGGAGCCCGATGCGGGCCTCGATCCCAGGACCCTGGGATCATGACCTGAGCCGAAGGCAGTCGCTTAACCAAATGAGCCACCCAGGCGCCCCACATTTCTCTCTTGTTAAGACCACCAACAAACTCAAATTTCCACATGCAATGCACATTTTTCAGTCTTAATTTTATCAAACATCTCTGTAGCAGTTGACAGATGGCCACTCAGTAATGCTTGAAACTTTCCTTCCTTAACCTCTGGGATAATAAACTCACTCAATTCTCCTCCTACCTCAGTCAGCCCCTTTGCAATCTTCATTACCGTCACCCCTCCCTACCCATCCCTGAGATGTTGAGGACCCTTGGAATACCATCCTTAAGTCTCTAGATATAGTTCATCTTTGGGAGCTGTGAGCTGCACATCCACTGGCCACTAGCATTCCGACGTACCTCACATTTAATAAGATGCAGGAATTACGAGTATAGGATCAAAAGAATACATCACTTATACAGTATTCCTGCCAAAATGCATGACCTGCATCTGAGCATGAGGAAACAGACAAACCCAAATAAAGGGACATTCTACAAAACAATAAGCTTGTATTCTCTTTAAAATGTGAGTGTCAAGAAAGACAAAGAAAGGCTGAGTCCATATTAAAGGAGACCAAAGACCTAGGACAACTAAATTCAATGTGTAATCTGGGATTAGATCCTTATTGGGAAAAAAAAAAAGTGTGCTATTAGAATTAGGAACAGTAATGGCTTAATCATTTGAATTTGAATATAAACCATATATTAAATAATAGCTTTGTTTCTATGTTAAATTTTCTGAATTTGATAAGTAGACTGAGGGTAGATAAGAGAATACTCTTGCTCCTAAATACTTAGGAATGAAGGAAATGATCTTTGTGACTTACTCCAAAATAGTTCAATAAAAACAAAGCAAAGGGGCGCCTGAGTGGCTCAGTCATTAAGCGTATGCCTTCAGCTCAGGTCATGATCCCAGGGTCCTGGGATCGAGCCCCGCATCGGGCTCCCTCCTCCACAGGAAACCTGCTTCTCCCTCTCCCACTCCCCCTGCTTGTGTTCCCTCTCTGGCTGTGTCTCTCTGTCAAATAAATAAATAAAATCTTAATTAAAAAAAAGCAAAAAAAGAATAGATAAAGCAAATGTGGGAAAATGTTGATAATGGGTGAATCTAGACAAATGGTCCATAAGAGTTTGTTGTAATATTCTTGCAACTTTTCCATAGATATGATTATTTTTCAAAATAAAAAGTTCCAAAAAAAAGAGCAAGAAGAGGTTTAGGGTTCAGATTCTAGCTCCATCACTGTCTACCTGGACAGCCTTGGGAAACTGTATAACCATCACTGCCTCAGTTTCCCCTGTTATCAACTGGGGATGATGATTGTAGCTACATCATAAGTTTTTGTGAGGGTTACAAATATTGACACATGTAAAGGGCTTGGAACACTGCCCACTATATGGTAAGCATTCATTAAATGTTAGTATTATTATATCTAAAATTGAACTCATTTCCTCTCCAACTTGGACTGTCTCTTGTATTCTTAACCATGGTTTATAGCATCATGATTTAGTCAGTCTTCTGAGCTAGAAAAATCATTCCATCCTTCTGTGTCCCCAGCACTTTGTCCATGTCTCTATTATGGCATATTTGCATATGTCCATCTCAATTAGATTACGTTCATCTCAGCTAGTTTGGAGTTGGGGGTGGAGGCAAGGGAGAAGGAGAAAGAACATTCCAGATAGAGCAAATTTCAGGGCACCTGGTGGGCTCAGTCAGTAGAGCATGTGACTCTTGATCCTGGGGTCATGAGTTCAAGCCCCATATTGGGTATAGAGTTTATTTTAAAAACATAAATAAATTAATTAGTTAATTAATTAATTTAAAAAATTACCCATAAAGAACAAATAGCATGAAGGCTCAGAGATGAGAGAACAAGGCACAAAGAAGTCTAGTTAGATTGGAGTACAAAAGGGGAGAGAGTAGGGATATGAAATGAGGCTAGATTAAATAAAAATATATCATTAAGGGATTTATTTATCTTTTTTAGTAGGCTCTATGCCCAACATGGGACTTGAACTCACAACTCCTAAATCAAGAGTCACATGCTCTACCGACTGAGCCAGCCAGGTGCCCCATAAAAAGATTACTTGTATTCAAAATCTGAACAAGTTATCTGGTGTATACGTTAGATCAGTGCTGTATGCTTGACAACACCTCTTCCCTCTTCTCATGGAAGATGGGAACTAAACCTAAGAGAAGCAAAGGAAAAGCCAGAGAGGAGAAAAGACAAAAAGGCATGACAGAGGTAAAAGAGCTCAGGCACCTGGGGCTCCCTGACCTGAAAATGAGACTACTCAATGATATAAGACCAGCATTTAAATGGACAAAAGATTATCAGGTAAAATTAGTCATTCAGGTGTCTGAGTATAAGCTCCTGGTAGATTGCAAACTCCTTTGAGACAAGGAGGGACTGAATAATCTTGCTCCCAGCATGTATTATGGTACGTGTCCCATAGTAGGGAGGCTCAGGAAATGCATGTTGAATAAATGGGCAGCTACCAACTGCCTGACCACAGAGGCCAAAGTCTTGACCCGGTAGGTGATAGTCCTAGTTCAATTCCACAGGCCTCAAAACCCCAAAGCGTTTAGTATCTTTATTAGCATTGCTCACCAGCAGAGGCAGCTTTCATCATCAACTGGGCAAATTCGATGGCACCTCCTTTTCTGAAGGCTAATTTAAAAGTAGCCTGTCCTTCCCAGCCACCTGGGGGAAGAAATGGCACACACTCACTAAGATGCTGGCACCGCCGGCCAGAGAGGACTGCCCCAGACAGAGACAGAAGCACTACCCAAAGGAGCAGGGCAGTTTTCTTTAAATTCCTGTATAAGCCAAGTCTGAATCTTAAACCTTCTGGAAGCTTTTGAGAAAAAAAAACACTTCTGAGGGGGAACACTTACCATCTGGAGCTGCCTGAATGATTCCTTTAATGAAGTTGGAGGTAAAGACTGGTTGTTCGATGGTGCAGTTACTCATCAGATGAAATGGCATCATAAAAGAAAACATGGAGTCATTGACTGTGTGTGAGGTCACGAAGATCACCTAGGAGAGGAAAGGAATTTCAGAGAAGGAATGCAGTTTGTCCACGGATTGAGACATAGCAGAGCAATTCTAAGGTCAAGGCTGCTTTGACATCCTGGCCTAATTGAGAAACATCACCCATTTTCTTCCATATTCCTCAACATGGAAAATCATAAAAGTGTGAATGTTTTAAAACACTTTGAAAGTCAATGTCTAACCTCTCTCCATTTTAAGGAAAACAAATGTGCAGTTAATCCGATCAAAGTAGAATTACCCGGTATGAAGTGAGAAACAGTGTTCCCCTCTTTGTACCACTGAAGAGACTGGATCCCTCTGGTTGCTGTAGGAAGGAGAGCTCTACATCCTGACACTGAGTCAAGACACTGCAGAAAAGAAAGGGCAGACACAATACAATTTAGGAATTATATAAAATGACACATATAAAGCTTTTAGCACAGTTCTAGTCCAGAGTAAGCATTCAATAAATGTTAGCTGCTGCTGCTACTGCCATTATTTTATTGAAATAGAAAGGAAACTAAAGGATCTTATTTTCTGACTGTTCACTTATTCTTCCCCCTTTTTATCATTGGGTTTTTTTTTAAGATTTATTTATTTATTTTAGAGAGAAAAGTGCACAAGCAGGGGGAGGGGCAGAGGGAGAGGGGAAGCGGACTCCCCGCTGAGTGGGGAGCCCTACGTGGGGCTTGATCTCAGGACCCTGAAATCATGACCTGAGCTGAAACCAAGAGTCAGAGGCTTACCTGACTGAGCCACCCAGGCACCCCAGGTTCTTTTTTTTCTTATCAAATTTACCTTCTTCTTAATGTTGACTCATTAATTTCTTTCTTTATGTGTAGGAAGTATAAAGCACTGTGGTAATGGAAATGTTTCTCTGACTCTTATAGAGATGGTAAGGGACACAGAGTACTCCAGATTCCTCTGGCATGTAGTTCACTCTACCTGTCATGTTCTCCCCTCACTATTAACCTGAGAAACTTGGACTCATCCTATTCTCACTCACAGAATCCTACTGGGTTTCTTCTCTTTCTAAGTAATTATTATAATAGATATGTGCTTATTTGTTCAATATCTTAACTAATGATCATTAAGGACAATGTCTTTCCACTCTAGCCCTAGCAAACAATGGGTGCTACTAAATATTTATGGAAAGAATGAATGAATGAAAACATGCTTATAGATAATAATGTAAGCAGTAATATGACATACATCACATTAATGGCACAAAAATGTCATAGCAATTTAGTGGAAGGAGATTAGCTTTGGTTGAAGTGATTAAAAATGACTTTATAGAAAGGTTGAAGTGTGAGTTGATACTTTTTTTTTTTAAGATTTTATTTATTTATTCATGACAGACAGACAGACAGAGAGACAGACAGACAGAGAGAAGCAGAGGGAGAAGCAGGCTCCCAAGGAGCAGGGAGCCCGATGCGGGACTCAATCCCAGGACCCTGGGATCATGACCTGAGCCGAAGGCAGACGCTTAACCATCTGAGCCACCCAGGCGCCCTGATTCTTTTTTTTTTAAAAGATTTTATTTATTTGACAGAGAGAGACAGCGAGAGAGGGAACACAAGCAGGGGGAATGGGAGAGAGAGAAGCAGGCTTCCCGCCGAGCAGGGAACCCAATGAGGGCCCGATCCCAGGACCCTAAGATCATGACCTGAGCCGAAGGCAGTCGCTTAACCAACTGAGCCACCCAGGTGCCCCGTGTGAGTTGATTCTTAAGATATGAATACTGTTTCAGTAGGCAGAGGTGAAGGTAGGGGACAATCCAGATGGGGAGCAAAGAGCATGAATGGAGGTGCAAGAGCAGCATCAATGGAGGTATGCAGTGGAAAGCAAATTGCACCCTTGGGAGCAGCCTACCTGTGTGGATTCATCAAAACAGCATGGGAGTGGCGGGGGGTGGGGGGAGAGCAGTGAGAGAGAGCCGGAAAGCCATGCTGGAACTAGAGCTTGGAGACACCATTTAATAGGCAAGAAGAAACTGTGAGCTGCAGCTGTCTCAGCAGCTAGTCACATGATCAAGGAGGTGGTGGTGTATCAGAGGCACCATTTTAAGAATCCCTAAAGGGTGCTGTGCTGGCTCAGTCAGTAGAGCATGCAGCTCTTCATCTTGGGGTCATGAGTTCAAGTCCCATGTTGGGTGTGGAGATTACTTAAGATTACTTAAAAAAAAAAATCCCTAAAATATTCCTGATGTGCAGCGATAAGAACCGGAACTGGGGGGGTATGTGTTGATGAAAAGGGCTTTTTAAGATACAATGAAAATATAGGATGCCAGCAAAAATGTCAGGAAAAATAGGGAACTCCAGGAGTGCCTGGCTGGTGTAGTTGGTTGAGTGTCAGACTCTTGGTTTGGGGTCAGGTTGTGGTCTCAAGGTCTGGGATCATGTCCCAAGTCACGGTCCACACTCAGAGAGGAGTCTGCTTGGGACACTCTCTCCCTTTCCCTCTGCACCTCCTCTCTCTCTCTCCCAAGTACATAAATAAATCTTAAAAAAAATAGGGTACTCCAAAACTCAGTTCAGAACTCTGGAATCTAATCAAAACCTTATAGCAACTAAGAGAATGTTTAATCAAGAAAAAATAGCTGAGTCTCAGTAAGAGAGCTTTGTGACACTTTAACTTACCCTGGTACCATCCTCCAATCCCCAGTTTGGCAACAGCCTTAAGAATAACCCGCATTCCTAGTGTGGTGTCAAGTACCAAAGGGAGCAGAGCACACCTTATTCTCAAAGAATTGTGGTTGTTTTAACTTGTCTGCTAGCTCCCTGAGGGGTTGGCTCAAAGGGTATGTGCCTAATTCAGGCACTACCCAGGTAACTACCCAGGGTGCATTTGTCAAAAACAGTTCAAGGTAAATGTATTAGTTGCTGCTATATGGGGCAAAGGATGACACTTAGTGCAAACAAACAAAACTGAAAAGTTAGGGAGGAAAGGCTGATGAGATGTTTTAGGGAATAAAGGCTTTGAAAAGCTCTGACCATATTCATGGGAATCTAGAAAGCCACATGCATATCTGCCCAGGGATGGATTCATGCTCAGAAGAAAACTGAGAAGGCCCAAAACTTTTACCTCTGGTTGACAACGAGGCTCTGCTCAAGCAGGAAGTGAAAGCTAAGACAGAGCTGTAAACTGCCTGGCTGAGTGACAAAAACATGCTCCAAACACATAAGTAGACCCCATCTGCAAAAGCAGGAAGCTTTTGTTTTATTTTATTTTTTTTTATTTTTTGATATATGAGGAAATAGTCAAATCACTAGTTGGCTACTAAGTTAATATAAAAGAGACTTCAGTGGCCGCACATGACAAAGAGTACAAACTTTACAAAATTTATAATTCAGAAAAGCCATTAAACAAACAATAACTACAACAAGCAGCAACAATGTACCCTGAGGAAGAGAGAAAATCTGATTTTCAGAGTTGCCAAATTATAATATTCAGAATGTCCAGTTTTCAACAACAAAAAAATCACAAGGCATGCAAAGAAACAAGTAAGTATAGCCCATATGTTCTTCTGTGAGCATTGGACAATCAAATTAATAAAAACTGCCCTGAGGAAGCCCACACATTGGATTAACTAAACAAAGACATTGTTTGTTTGTTTGTTTGTTTGTTTGTTTGTTTGTTTTTTAGGTGAACTCCACCCACAACGTGGTGCTCAAACTCCCAACTCCAAGATCAAGAGTCACTCGCTCTACTGATTGAACTAGACAGGCACCCCACTAGACCAAGACTTTAAATAAACTATTTTAAGTATGCTTAAAAAGTTCAAGAAACCATGTCTAAATAACCAAAGGAGATAATGAGAACAATGTCTCAAAAAGTAGAGAATATCAATAAAGAGACAGAAATAGAAAAATGAACCAAATAGAAATTCTGAAGGTGGAGACTGCAATAAGTAAAATGAAAAATTCAATAGTGCGGGGCTTAATGGCAGATTTCAGCAGGCAGAGGAAAGAATCAGTGAACTTGAAGATAGGTCAATTAAGAATAACAGTTACTACCCAAGTAACAGAAAGAAAAAAGAATGAAGAAAAATGAACAGAGTCTAACAGACCTGTGGGACAAAATCAAGCTTACAGCCAAATGCATAATGAGACTGCCAGAAGGAGAGGAGAGGGGGAAAAGGGGGCATAAAGAAAATTTGAAAAAATAATGGCCAAAATCCCCTCCAATTTAATGAAAGACATGAATCTACACATCCAAGCTCAACAAACTCCTACTAGGATAAACTCAAAAAGATCCACACCAAGACACATTATAATCAAACTGCTGAAAGCCAAATACAGAGACTCTTAAAAGCAGCAAGAGAAAAGAATCATCATGTACAAAGAATTCTCAATAAGACAAATAGCTGACTTCTCATCAAAAACTATGGAGGCAGGGGCACCTGGGTGGCTCAGTCGGTTAAGTGGCTGCCTTTGGCTCAGGTCCTGATCCCAGAGTCCTGGGATTGAGCCCCACATTGGGCTCCCTGCTCAGCGTGGAGTCTGTTTGCCCCTCTACCTCTGCCCCTCCCCCTGCTTGTGCTCTCTCTCTCACTCTCTCAAATAAATAAAATCTTTGTTTATTACTTAAAAAAATTTTTTTAAAGATTTTTATTTATTTACTTGAGAGAGAGAGCAGGAGAGAGAGAGAAAGAGCATGAATGGAGGGAGGGAGGGAGGGAGGGAGAGGAAGAAGCAGACTCCCCACTGAGCAGGGAGCCTAACACAGAACTCAATCCCAGGACCCTGGGACAATGAGCCAAGCTGAAGGCAGATGCTTAACTGACTGAGCCACCCAGGCACCCCTCAAATAAATAAAATCTTAAAAGAAAAAAAAATCTGTCAACCACAAATTCTGTATCTGGCAAAACCATCCTTCAAAAATTAAGGAGAAATTAAAATATTACCATGTAAACAAAAACTGAGAGTTCATCACTAGTAGGTCTGAACTGTAAGAAATGCCAAAGGAAGTCCTTCAGCCTGAAATAAAAAGACACTAAAGAGGCACCTGGATGGCTCAGTCAGTTATGAGTCTAACTCTTGATTTAGGCTCAGGTTATGATCTCAGGGTTGTGAAATCGAGCCTCACATTGGGCTCCATGCTGTGTGTGGAGCCTGTTTGGGATTCTCTCTTCCCCTCTCCTTCTGTCCCTCCCCCACCTCTCTCTAAAAAAAATAAAATAAATAAAAATAAAAAGACACAGACAGTAAATCAAACCCATACAAATAGAGAACACTGGTAAAGCTAACTACATAGGTAAATATAAAAGTCAGTATTCATGTATTTTTGGTTTGGAACTCTTCATTTCTTCCTATATGAATTAAAATGCAATTGCATAAAACAATAATTGTAGATCTATAGTGATGGG